CTCTATGTACCTCAAAAAAATAGAATCCCAAGATTGCATTGGGTTTAGATATTCAAGAACTCAAAATCTAAACTTTTTTTCTTTAAAAGCATTCATCTACTTATAACTAGATAGATCGCCACATTTCTCCGAAAAGACTCAAATAAGTGTTTCACCGGAGAGAATAAATGCATATTTTACTCCTGATGGGGAATAGTATACATGCGCAAATTTGATTATGATATAAGGTTTAACCGAGGCAAAAAACCTACATTCTCTTTCTTCGGACGGCAGTAGCCAACCAGAAAGACAATGAAGAGGGCACAAAATATGGGAGATGGGCCATATACATTGTTTGACGACCGACAATGGAGAAGACCTATTTATGGGGCACTTTCCCTTTTCAATTTATCGAATAAAACTGTGCAGGGAAAATATCTTTTAATTGGATCAAAACTCCTTACAAATTTATTAATAAGTATGAAGATTCCAATAAATATTAAAAGGTTTGTTTCTTTAATTTTCATTCAAATGTTTGGTAGCTTCATTTGTTTTAGTGCCTTCTCAAAAAATATAATTAAGAGATACCCAATGCTCAGTTGGGGCCAAATTATAGAAATGTCTTTTTCAGAGTTCTCACAAGGACAACTAGAGTATTTTTTTAACCTATGTTTTGAGAAAGAACCTAAGAAAAAAAAATGAAGAAAAAAATGAATAAACTCTCCAATATTAATTGAACTTTTGACCCTTGATGCTTTTGTCAGGAGTTTTGAATATTTTCCCAACTTCGCAAGGTTAGTACGAAACTTATTTTAATTAACCCACATGGACCATTCACGCAATAGCGTAGAGATGCCTTAGGAACACAAACGCAAATGCAACAAATCTATTGCTGGAGTGAATCAACTTGTTTTGAATCTCTGTTCGATATGAAATTTGAGAATGTCCTTTCATCCTTGATTTGCAAATGGATTGAAGAATGCCATTAATGCTTTTGCTCTCCCTCTCCACATCACTGCAAAGGCAGTGCATGCTGGAATCCCAAACAGGCATTTAGAGGTCCGCGCAACTACTCTTGTATGAAGTAGACATAAGGGACCTGTTTGAGCTGTATTAGTCGCGGAAACCACCTGTTTACACTCACTCATCTGTCTCATTGTGCATCATTTGTAGTGAGGGTACCATCTAGAGTGACACAGCTAAGTTCATATTGCTATTATTAATTTTAATAATAGTCATAGGCGGTCTAAGCTGTTATTTGCACCATCCAAACTCGCCTGGCAACATATGCTCAGATGCTGCACAACAGCAAAGAAGAGAGAGGGAGAGAGCGAGAGAGGAGACCAGGTAATGGATAACAAATCCCATATATCAGATGCAGGAAACAAAATTTTGATAAATGGGCATCAACCGCATAAATAATTCTAACAAGGGCACTAACATTGCCAATCATACAAATATGACCTCAAGCTTTGCACATGGGTTGCTTTCTATGTAATACTGGAGATCACCATCGCCCTTGAAGCTGAAAGTGTACAGTGCCTGGCGTTGGGTCATGCCAAGCGGATATATCCTATAAATCTTCAAATCATCACCACCTTTGATCACACTGGGTCTATCTCCCTTCCATATGGGCACATGATTCAGGGACTTGAATTTCGCTAAAACGGCAGACTCCAATGCTTGCAATGTCAGACTACTCGAACTGCATAAAAGTATAGTTTACAATCCACTCCAAAACGATCAAGGTACGGTGACCACTATAGGCCTAGGGATTTTGGAGATCAAGAATCACGGTTGGGGGTTCCAATAAAGAGAGCATGTATAGCAATTTTGTTTTCCTGATGTGGAGGAATGATAAATATGGACAAGAGGGCAGCATGTAACCAAGAGATAAATGGTGTTCTGCTCAATTTTAATAATTGAAATGACTCTTAAACATAAACAATTGAGACGTTTGAGCATTGTCAGACAAATGGAAGGTATCATGCTGTCCCTAACAAGAGATAAATGGCGCTCTGCTCAATTTTAATAATTGAAATGACTCTCTTAAACATAAACAATTGAGACGTTTGAGCATTGTCAGACAAATGGAAGGTATCATGTTGTCCCTAAAAATCAAGGACTCTTATCAATTGAAATTTAAATGTTAACTACACCGCCACCCTTAAATGTTAACTACACCGCCACCCACAACCCAACCCCTCCCCCCGCCCCCCCCCCTCCCTCCTTCACTCTTCTTTTCCCGGGATGAAATTTTGGCCAAAGGAATTCCCAAAAACCTGTAACCCTAACCCTTGGGACTACACTAGCTTAGTACAACTGACCTATAGTCCCAGAGCCTTAAAAACCTCAAAATAGACCCTAAAACTCAGTCAGAGCTGAACTAGACCACTGCCCCTGGACTCAGCACAATTTCCGGTGCAAGCTAGAGCATTGTGTCAGCAATGCGCCCACCTTATAAGCCCTGCAACCGATACGCGTCACTGAAGATTTCTGGGTCACCAGAGCGAAAGTGAGGGTACTTAGCCCTTCTGCTTTCAGAAACACATTATTGAACCTCCAAAATATATTGTCTTACTATAAGAAAGCAAGAATAGTTTAGTCATATTTTTACAACAACACCCAAAATCGTAAATGCTTTAGGTTCATCCCAATTATCTAGGTGATAGTGGCAGAGCATACAGAAAATCTATCCCAAGAAATTCCTAGTGCCAACTTTTACGGCCTAAATAAAGACATACATGCTACAAGCTATGAATTGCTCACATGAGGATTAGAATACCACTTTAAAAAGTTCAATATTGACCTTCATCATACAGATGATGAAAGCTTCAGACAGGAACCTCCATTCAAAATCTTATCAGCATGATACAAACAGAAATTATAGATTGATCTTGGGTATGAGGCAAGAAAGATTCAGACAAGTAATTACCTTAGGAAAATTGACTCCATCTCAAACCTTCCCCTCTCTCTCACAAACAAATGGTGCACAGTTACACCGCTTCTCGTACAGTTGCAGGGACGTTTTTGAAAATTGGGATTTGATCTTTCCTTTTTCTCTCGGATTTGAGTGGCAAGGTGAATACAGAGCCTGCAAGATGAATGCACAGCAGCCATGTCCACAAGGGCCTTGAAAGAATCAGATGGACCCTCATATTTCCACCTACAAAATTCAACCCCACCAATTATATTATAATCAGACTGATTCACACAAACTTTTCATGTATAAGAATTACTCAAAAAAGACAAAAAGTTAAGATTGAGAGAGAAGAGAGAAACATTCAAGTACATGATTGGGTAAAATATACATCTTTCACATTGATAAATCATGGGGCAATGTGCCCTATATACACGTGTATCCTTATAGGAGGTGCAATATAGGTCAACATGCATGTCGGTTACAACTATCATGCATATAGGTTACAGTAGGAAAAGCATCTGGATATAGTAGGATATTCCAATATTATACAATTTGGTATAGATTATGTTTCCAAAGTGTGCATGGATCATGGTCAACGGTCCTTGTCACCGCATGGAGATTTCCTTAATGGGCATGAGGCCCTTAATAGTTACTGCGGGTCAGTGTAGGAAAAATCGAACAGGAATGGTTAACAAGATATGGTGCTGGAAGTGGTTCAATTGGCCTAACTGGTAAACCGGCCGGTTCAACCGGCCTAACTAGGCAAGTCTCGGGAGGTCAAAAAAGGGCTAAAAAAATAAAAGAATTGCAAAAAAATAATAATAAAATATGAAGAGTATATTTAAAGCATGATTAAACAAAGCACATCCAAATGAAGTTGAAAATTAACGAAAAAATGGACTTCAAAGAATCATTTGTGCCAAGAGGTATTTTTGAAATTTTTCAAAAAAGATGGGAAAATGTAAAAATAAGTATTAATGGACAAAACAATTTCCAATCTTTGTCAAAATGATGAAAGACATTGAAAAAATACATTACAAAAAAAATCTCATAATTTTTGCGATTTCATTTTTTTTTTTTTTAATTCTTTTTAAAATACCCGGCTGGTTCTCCAAAACCGGAACTGGCCAGTTGCCGGTTTTGATCTAACCGAGTGATTAGAATTTGAACCACCCGATTTTTCCTAAACTGTTGCGGGTAGAACAAGAACAAGAATCTCTTTTAACAAATACCGAATCATCAGAAACCCCTCTTTAAAATCCGATATTGAAATGCAAAATTTTTTGAACCAAACTCATTAAATATCGAATCTCCCAAGGAAGAGTAATAGGGTATTTTCTCAAAGAAGGTAACATCTTTTAAGACATTGCCTTTTACTATTGTTCAAAAAGACAATCCGCCTAGTGCCTTGGTACCCAAAGGCTCCCAGGGCGTACGCCTAGGCCCAGGCGGCCCTCCCTAGCCACTAGTGCCCAGGCGCCTGCCCAGATGGTCCAAGCAGGTGCCCAGCACCTAGGGCAGGGGCCCGGTTTTTTGTAATTAACCCCTAAGGGCATTTTTCCTAACCCCCAAAGTGAAAAAAATAAAATCCAAACCCTACAAACACCCCAAATTGATTGATTTTGAGATTTCTCTGAAACAAAAAAAAAAAATCTGAGTTTAAACTTTAAAGAAGTATCCAAAAGCTCATCCTTTACTATGACCTCTTATAAAAGGATCGAAAAAAGATTTATTTTAATGTTGTCTTTTATATTGCATCCTCTTGTATTGGACATTTGGACCCATTGGTTTTATAGCTTTTTGGAGACTTGCAGTCCATGTGACTATGTCTATGTGTGTGTAACTAAGTATCATCTATCATGAGCATGTGTCACTATGGAGTATGGATTGGAGTATGGATTGGAGAGTTGGACTATTGAAGACTAAATACACCATGGACTTGAAGTTTTCAACGTGTTTCAAGATTCATGCATATATATTTGCATGGAAGGAGTTAGAATACATATGAATGCAAAAAAAAAAAACCAAAAAAAAAAAAAATAACACATACCTGCATATATGTGTGTTAGAACAGTACATCTATGCAATTCTCTAAATATTTTTAACCTTATGGCGACCGCCTAAGGGTTGGGCGTTGAGTGCCAGGATGGCCACCTAGGGGCCGCCAAGCATTTTTCGATACTTTGCCTTTTAGTAATGGACAAAACACTTGCATCCTTTTGAGAGTTCGATTATCCCAGGAACACATCTACTACATTGGGGCTGGGGCCTAATTTACTTCTGACGCTCCTTAGGGTATGCACAAAGCAGACACAGCTAAAGATTTTTGGTGCAAGAGAAAACATTGGAAGTGCATAGTGGAGAAATTTGAAAGGGTAACACCACTGAAAATAGGTGTAGGCATCCTATTGATCACATAGGATGCAATAAGAATTGCTTTATCCCATTATGTCTTGGGAACTTTAATTCCTATTAAGACCACTCTTATAACTTCTAACAAGCGCCTATTTTTCTGTTCTGCCACATTATTTTGTTGTGGTATATGTATAAGAATATGATGTATGAGTTTCTATACCATATTCAAGAAAATAATTCTTTAATCCCCTGTACCATGCATTATCAAAATGGAAAATTTTGATTTGGGCCCCTAATTGGGTCTAAACCAATTTATGAAATATTTTAACTATTGAGGTTACTTCATCTCTACTATTCATAAGATAAATCCAAGTATAACAAGGGTAGTCATATAAAATACCGACACCAAATATAGAAATAACTAGAGCAGGCCCCCAAACATTAGAGATTGAACGATTTAGGGTGTTTACTTTCACTAAAAGAACAGAGGTTCTACAATGTTTAAATAATTGACAGGTGTCACATTGTCACTGAGAAATATTCAAAGAAACAAACTTATCTGTAAACAACAATTTCAAAAATATCAGAGACAAGTGGCCTGAGTGGGTGTGCCACAAGAGTACTTGCTCATGACTTCTAGACTTAGAATTGAGAGCAGTAGAAGTGCATCATGTGTTGAACAGGTACAGCCTATTGTCTCCACAAGTACACCAATTGTCTTCCAAGTTTTTAGGTCATGAAAAAAACAATATGAGGGATCAAAATAACACTGCAGTTTAGTTGTTTTGTCAGGCTGCCAACTGAGAGAAGATTGGAAGACAAGAAAGCACACATGTTACAAAAGGTTAGACAAAGGATGACAAAAGTTTATATGTTCCATTCCCAGAGGCACTGATCATGGGATCCATCAACAAGTTTAACTTCACTAGAAACACGAGAAAGGACGAAGAACCACCTTTCTTACCAGTCATATGATAATTAGCCCCTGCATCAATAATCTAGGATGCAGAAGATGTGGATTCGGAGACATGGTTTTGGATGCATATGTACTTGGCTGCTCTCTACTAGTGTCTTAGAGCTGAGGTAAGCCTTGAGAGCAGGTAACTGGTGCTGTAAATCTTTGATGGCCTGATCACTTGGATCGGATACATTGAGTTGTGTGGCTAAAGTTCATCCCCTTCAGTCAATACAATATATGCACTTGTATTCCTTTGTTTCGGTCTAAAGTGTGGATGCAAGTCCCAACAGTGCTCACGAGTGTCTCCTCTTCCCCCAATGGGAGCAATTGAGTTTCTCCTTTTCAGCGAGAGAGTGGCCCATAATTTTGTCCTTTTGCACCCACATTCCCTTAAAACTTGTTGTGAAGGATGATTGTTTATGGTGGATGCTTGAGGTTTGTCCCACTACAATAGCCATTCTATTAGGCCCCCTCACGTAAACATAGACTAGTTCAACGTAGGGCAATTTGTCCTTCCCTAGAACTTGTACTTTCTAAAGTTCAAAGTCAGGATGTAGGCATGCTAAAAACTCAAATCCTTCGTTGCTATTTTTTTAATGTCATCAACATTGGAATAATGGGTTGATAATGGTCTAGTTCTTCCCAATGATACCTTAGTATCCTAAAGTACTCTTCCCCAGTCATTTCCCCTTGTTGCAAATTCGCTATTTCACAAATGTAATTTGTTAGGCATATCATCTAATTGCAAGTATGTCTTGGCTACTGCCTCCCATACTTCGTATGCAGTTCTAAGAAACAACAATCCCATGTTGATAATTGGCTGCATGGAATGAAGACGCCATACCATTAATGTCAGATTCTCAATTTTCTATTCATCATGGGATGGATCATTTATGGGCTCCTTCACCTTTCCTATGGTGTAACCCATTTTTCTACGGCTTCCTATGAACATTTTGAAAAATTGGGACCATTCTGAGTAGTTTGTCCCATCTAGCTGAACTATAGTGATAATCAATCGTGGGTGATCAGGTCGACAGCTTCCCAAGGAAATGTTGTGCTTGATTTCTAACATTTTGATTTGATCTCTAACTCAAAAACCTGTCTTTTCCCAAGGTACTAGATCCCCAATCTCAAAGCATGTAAGGATCAACTTTTTCTGGTTTGTTTATGTGAGAAGGGTATGGAATATATTTTCCTAATTTGTTTGAGAACGAAGGATATCAGATATATTGGTGTGACTTTTGTATCGGGAAAAAAAATATAAAGAAAATAAGGCCTTTGGTTTTTCTGGAAACAATGTTCAAAAAATCACCAGCCGAGCCACCTGGGCATTTGGGAGGCCTCACCACCCTGTCTTGGGGCTATACGACTCTGGGCAATGGCAGTAGGCCTGGGCGGGTGCCCAGCTCCTACTGCCCGAGCGCCCGCCCTGGTTCCTTTTGGCGAGCTGAAAATGTCCTCGCCCAAAAGGGATTTTAATTATTTCCCCCCTTAAAAGAAGAGGGGCGGGGGCAATAGATTGTGGGGGTTACTTTGGCCATCCAAACCCTAGTGAGAGAGATTTTCCTCCCAAAAAATATTTTTTTACCTTGAATTGATATTTTTTTTTAAATCGATTTCATGAGAAATTGAAAGGAATTTGATACGGGTGTTTTTGTTGACCAAAGAGGTTGCAAAAGAGAGGTTTTGGCATTTGAAAGTAAGAGATTAAAGCCTATTTCGATTAGGTTTGAAAAGGTTAGTAGATTTAAATGATTATGTTTAGGTTTTGATTTTTTTTATGAGTATTGTATAATGTCATTTTTTTTAGGTAATTTTAAGTCCATGAACATTTATTTCTTTGTACATGTGTATGCTGGAACTTTGGATTTCGGAATTCTACAATGTGTTGAAATTTTTTAGGTTAGTGGAATGTGTTGAAGTTGAACTTCTAAACTTTCAAGTTTGAAGTAATATTGAAATGCTTATGGATATACATTTATGTTATGTGACTTTGTATTTTGCTTAAATAGCTAATGGATGTCAAAATTTGGACAATTTTACAGTTCTATTTTTTACATATGTAAATTTTAGTTCATAAGCAATTAGATCCATAATTGAAAACCCCACACCCCCACTTTCAACAACACCACCATCCACCCTCCCAAAAAAAAAAGAAAAAAAAAAACCCAATCCCCTATACAGTGGCCTACCTGTGCTTTAGGCGGCCGCCTAGGTCGTTGGGCACCTCTATCACCCGGTCGGCCATTTCCATGTTCTTGAACATAGTGGAAAAGAATTTTGATGAACTTACTTATTGGTTAAAAAGCGAGATGATCTTGCTAAAAATACGAGGTTGCTGATACACCACAACTTCAACCCAAGAAGAAAGAAAATATGATTCTAGGATTGCTGGAAATAGTGGATACAGTGGGACATTATAAAAATTTGGTACAGATTAGATTTCGAAAAGTGCATGGAATGTTGGTCAATGTGCCTTGTCACCATATGGAGATTTCCATAATCGGCATGAGATCCATAATAGTTACTGCAAGTTTCCTTAGTAGGCGTGAGACCCATACTAAACACCACACAGATTCCATAATAGGCATGAGACCCAAAATAGTCACTACAATAACTAATGTAACGAACAAGGAAACTCCATTCTCCATTCAAGCCTTTGCAGACCCTGAATGGAAGGATGTTCTCGATAGTAAGCACAACGTCCAATGTATTTAAGAGCAAAGTTCGAAACTGCATTATGACAGCCACAAAGATTAATAGTAGTAATTGTACTGAGAGGAATTTTACCATACCTGAGGGAGTTATTAAATGCAACAGGATTTGATGCGAGGTACGTAATGTTTTTTGCAACTGACGGCACATCATCTACCTCTTTGATATGCAAAATAGAACCTGGTGCAGGAGCAAAATCTTGGATATTTGGAGCACCGACAACCACAGGGATGGTGCCTGTAGAGATCCACACAAAAAATAATAATTATCTCATCTGGACATGAGATAATTTAATGCATAGTTAAAGGAACACAAGCATGCCCCTTTCATTCAAATCGAATTACTAATATGCTCTTGGGACATGTCAAAGATAACAATGGCATTCAAACTTTTGAAAGATATTGCATTTCATTATTTTAATTATTTTTGTTACAACCCCAAAATATGAATCTCGAGTCCGTAATGTGGCAGGACATAAGGTACACGTATTAAGAAAAATTTAGAGCACCCTTTCCACTCTTTGATCAGGTGTCAGGATGTCCACTGTCAAGAGGAAGAGTCATCGGTGATTGGGTCTGCTGGTTGAACAGTGGTGATCATCCTCCTCACAGGTTCAACCATGAAGAGGGGATGACCCATTTCTTGAATTTTGGAAATAGGTAGTTGGACCATGCATCTCTTTCCTTAAACACAAAACATACATATATGCACGCATGCAAATAAACATGCATTTATTGTTACACATGCATATGCAAACTAATATGTATACAGACATGCATGCACGTATATACATATGTATGCAACCTCTCTCTCTCTCTC